CGTGAGTCGAGTGAAATACAAAAAAAATTGGTGACATGTAGAAACATATTCACATATTATAGCACGAAATTCTAATTATGTGTAATTAAAAGAATTGAATTAGTATTAACTAATTAAGGCATGAAATTTGTAGAAACCAGTGGATTTGAGAGAAAAGATGAGTTGGGTACAATTATTTGTTAATTGTATATTATATATATATGGAATCAGCCAAAATAGAGATCTGAAATTGAAGCTTGCTTACAAAGAACATTGACCAATTAAACCAAAAAAAATTATAAGCATGTGTAGAACGTAAATGACTAATCTAAATATAAGGAGGGTATATGAACATGAATTAATGCATATCAATTGATTTAACATAAATAAATATCTTCATAAAAATACACGTGGATTGATGTAAAGGAAAAAAATATTAATTAATTCAAATAGAGGTACAAAGAAAACATAATGATCGAGAAAGATGAGATCACGTATTGCAGATTTAACATATGTATATGTAAAATTCACGTATTATAAAATTAATTTTGATATACGTAATAGATGATTATTAAAAAAAATTACTACATTCTAAGAGTTTCGTGCTGATAACGTGTTATAAAATGAGAGGAAAAGAAGATAGAAAAAACTCAAAGAGAATAGAGAAAACTCAATAAATTTTTTGTGTGTATTATTGAAAACTAAAGCCCTATATTTATAGGTAAGAATCAGGAATACAATAGTAATAATTTATAGGACTGCAGGGGTACAAATGTCATTCACCAATAAACTTTAATAGACTTTCCATTTACAACAAATATATTATTTATTAGATCAATTCATAGTTTAATAATTTTACTTGGTAGTTGGCTTCATGACTATTTAGAAATAATGAGTTGTTTATGATAATACTTTTTTATTAAAGGAATGAAATTGTAAGCTTAATGTTTGTAGTCGAACTTGCATTAATTTAATGGTTTTAAGTGTGCATTGAGACAAAGATATTAATATTGTAACGTTTATATTCAGAAGGTTTCAATCTAAGTGTTATAGTGAAATTATAGGCCAATATATTTATTTTCTCACTTGTTTGAAATATATTATTATTATGTTGTTAAAATTGTGGTTTGAAACCAATTAAATCACAAAAAAATCATTTGGTTTGAAACTTTAGAATATTTATTTGAAAATAGATCAAATATCGTCCAGATCAAACCGCGTTCCTTATAAATAATATCGTCAAATTCGCATAAATTGCTCCTCAACCTATTGATTTGTGACAAATCCTTCACTCTATTTTTCTTTTGGTAGCATTTTCCTTAACCCATGAATTTAAATTAAAATTAGCCATTTCCCTCGTAATTTGTCCATTTAATGGTTAAAAAGTCAATATAACAATTAAAAAAAAAGTACTATAACTATAAGGCCACGATTTGATAGAAATTAAAATCCAAATTTATATAAAAGCTAAAATTAACAATTAAAATAATCACATATTTTATAAAACTCAACTTTTCAATCACACATTTCATTAATTTTTATCAAAATTTACTAAAAATTTAATTTAAATCTTCATCGAACCGAAGCTAGTTTTAGTTAAAATAAATAGAAATAAAACAAAACAACTAAATAAATTGAAAATAGAGGAAAATAAGAACTTACCCTCTTTTCCCAACCCCTCAACCCCACTCCTATCGTAGCCACCACTCCCACCATTGCCACCTCGAACATGGAGAAAATGTACGCGAAATCATTTCACAAAAGGAATTATTACACCAAGCTTGATGTATTTGAAATCTTTTTATGGCTTTGCTTGTCTATCATTCTATCATTTTATTTTTTTTACAGTACTTATTTTCAACAACATATTTTTCATTAAAATAATATTACATGTATATAAAAAAAAGTTATTCTTTTTTAACCACATATTTCAACATCAATCACTATTTCATAATACATTGTTCACAAATAATGGGGCACAAACAAGAAATTTCTTTGGCGATACCAGTGAAATGTTCATTATTATATTTTAACAAAAAAATCATCAACGGCATAGTGAAAGTAAATGAACAACGAAAATTAAAAATAACCCAATTCGCTAGCGCGCGAGAATTGCCTTTACTGAATTCTGTTTAATTGAAAGAAGAAATCTAAATCTTCAAAGCAACCTCTAGAGAACGATGAAGAAAGGAGGCCTGCATGGAGAGGAAAAGAAGCAGCAACATTTCTCGTCTTCTTTAATTATTTCATTGTAGAAATTATGAAAATTTTGTACAAAAATCAATTTCTTAAATTTTTAATTCTTGTTGATTGTTACTTAAGTTCATAATAAAATTATGGCACGATAGAATTGTCACAAAACTTAAGTTCATAATAAAATTATGGCACAATAGAATTGTCACAAAGGGTGCATTTAAAGGCAACAGAAGATATGTCAATTGCACGAGAAAATAGTTAAGTGAACGGTGCTTGGACAGGCAGTGTAGAAGGTTGGGACTGGACCGAGGAGGTATAATTCATTTAGGGAGCGTTTAATTATCAATATTTTTTCATGAATTTTTTTTTATATACAAATTTCTACTTTTTTATTGCTTGATTTTCATTTTTTTCCATGAAAAATATTTTCCTATTTCTGATCACGTGATTATATTTTTTCTCAAAATCAAGGAAAATTTTTTTTTAGGGGGTGAGATTTTATTTTCCTGGGAATTCACTCTCTCTTTCTCTCTCTCATATATTCACTTGTTTTTCATCTACCCAACAATAAAAATCGTACAAGTATAATATTTTCTATGTTGAAAATTAAATCAATCAAATACATTTAATTGACAATTTTCATGCAAATAAATTTTAGACAATTGAATTATTTAGAATTTATTTTCTTTCCATACAAATTTCATACTTGTAATCAAATGCATCCTTAGTATTCTTTTAATATTTGTTCGTGTAACTATAATCACACTATAATTTTTATTAGTTATACTGTATTTTAATGCGATTAAGATCTTTAAACTTTACTCATTGTAATTTTTATGTCCCAAACTTTTGTGAAGCATTATTATTCTCAACCTTTATCAAATAATATATCTTATCTCCCATAAAAGCTTATGTCGAAAAAGTTCTTAAGATGTGTCCATCAATTCAAAGCACAAATATGTAAATGCCAAGGATTATATGTGCTAAATAATTTATAGAGTTAAAAATATAAACGTTATAAAAAATTGAGGACTTAAATCAAATTAAAATATAATTAAATGATATTTGTAATCAACAAAAATGTTAAAATGCAAAACTGTAATAAAAAAAATGTGATTCATAGAGTTAATTGTCCCGATGTCGATTTTTGACCACTAAACTTATTAAAATATTGGATATTACCCACTGATATGACACCCATTTCACAACTCTAACGGAATAGGAGGTATGACAAACGAAATGTACAAGTGACGTCTGTTACACCTCTTCCAATAAGACTCTAAGCATTATATGGTATTCGTACATTATTTCTAGTTTACGCGTTATATAAATATTCATACATGAACTTGAGGGACTATTGTTACGCCTCTTCCAATGAGGCTCTAAACATTACCAAATGATAGCTGCATTGTAAGAGAACTTAGGTCCACACTCCACATCATTTTACGCACTTAGCGTTTTGGCCATGCCCCCATGGTCGAACCCCCAGAGCCGAGCCCCATGAATGAGGCGAAGAAGATAGAAGCATCTTAGGGAAGATCTTCATACAAGATCTTGTAACAAGTGGGTGATGTGCCAACTCACTGCATGGGAAGCTCAACTCAATCAGCAAGTCAAGTCTAGTCAGTGGCGGACCCACTGTTGGACCTAGTGGGTCACGTGACCCACTAGTTTTTTTTTTTTTTTTTAATATTACATTTTTTTTAAAACATAAAACTGTGGAAGACTAAAGGACAAAACAATAAAAAAGCCAATTAATTCTTTACAAAACCAAACAGTGGGATGAAAAGTGGGATTTGGGATTTGGGAAACCATTCATCCGTCCATTATTCATACAGTTGGTGCCATGACTGCGTAGTCCGTCCCTTACTGATTTAATCCATCATTCAACAGTTCAACGTTGCCGGCTTGGAATTTGGAAAAAAATTTCTTCTTGTTGACTAAATTTCCTTCCCTAACCTGGTAATCCACCTATTGAGTCTTGAGTATTGGCCAGCGATTGAAGCGGTTCAGCGGCTGTGAAGTGTGAAGTGCTGCCATTTAATTTCAGCCACCATCTGTGTATCTCCATTGGACCATTGCCACTACTGTCTACCGTCCGTCGACTCTAAATAGGTATTATTTTTTAAGGACCAGTTACTATTTAGTGCATGCATGAGTTTGTGTTTTGATTTTACATCTCCCGTCTCCAATTAATTAGGCTAAATCTTAATATATGATTTTTAATTTGTGTTACTTTTGTGATTTCTGAAATTTTTGTTGAACTAGGCATTTTAGGGATTTTTCTATTTATTGCTTATTGTTTATTTTAGCAATATAAATGGAAATTTGTTGAATTGTGAAAATGTGCAGCTTCAGACATTATTTTTAATCTTGTATTTTTGGAGAATTTAATTTTGTGAACTTTATCACCTAAGTTATGATCATTGGATTTAATTTCATTCTTGTTTTTTTATTCCAATGTATTGATTGTTTTTGTTGATTGTTTCTATCAGTTATGGAGAAGTATTTCAAACGTAAATTTGCATTTTCTGGTGATGAGCAAAATGTTAATAAAAGGAATGTTCAAGACAAAATGGATGAAATGAATGCTGGGGATAAATTTAATGAAATTGATGGAATTAATCTTGGAGATGTCCCGATTCAAACAATGTCGAGGATGTTGGGGATGAAACCCATGAATTTGATATTGCACAGCTTCCTTCAGATCCTGGATTGAGAGTTCCAATACAAAATTATGATATTAATGTCCGAGATGTGATTGAAGAACATATGTGCAACGGGGTCCTTGTCAACCTCGCAATCATGAATTTCCACCCACAAGGATGGCTAACAAAGATAGGCGATTTTGTGTTTCATGGTATAATGAGCATCCTAGTTGGTTGGAATACAGTATAGAAAAAGATGCTGTATTTTGCTTTTACTGTTATCTTTTCAGCTCAAGTGGTGGTTCATTTGTTAATGGTGGATTCTCAAATTGGAAAAGGAAAGAGATTATCAGAAAACATGTTGGGGCATCAAATAGTGCACACAATCATGCTCGGGTCCAGTATGAATCATTTAAGAATCAAGAACAAAGCATTCAATCTTGTCTGTTTAAGCAATCGCTTCAAACTCGAACAGAGTATCGAATTCGCTTGAATGCTTCAATTGATTGTGTTCGATTTCTTCTACGACAAGGGTTGGCCTTTCGTGGACATGATGAATCTGACGATTCAAACAATCAAGGGAACTTTCTTGAACTATTACATTGGTTGTGTGATCACAATACAGAGATTAATGCTGTTGCTTTGACGAATGCACCTGAAAATCTCAAATTAACATCACCTAGAGTTCAAAAAGATATTGTGAGTGCTATTACTTCTGAAATTCTAAACGTGATTATTAAAGATATGGGTAATGGCTTGTTTTCTATTTTAGTTGATGAATCTCGAGACATTTCGGTTAAGGAGCAAATGTCAGTTGTCATTCGGTATGTGAAGAATGGGCGTGTATTGGAACATTTTATCGGTGTTATACATGTTTCGAGTACCACAGCTGTCTCACTTAAGGCTGGTATTGATCAATTATTTTCCACACATAGTTTAAGTATATCTAATTTGAGAGGTCAGGGATACGATGGAGCTAGCAATATGAGAGGTGAGTATAATGGTCTCAAAACACTTATTTTGAAAGAAAATTCAAGTGCTTACTACATTCACTACTTTGCTCATCAACTTCAACTTGCTCTTGTAGTTGTGGCACAGAAACATCCAAAGATTGAAACTTTTTTTACGTCAGTACACAGATTGGTTAATGTTGTAGGTGGATCAGCTAAACGAAATGATCTTATTCGAGAGAAACAAAGACTGAATATTCTTGAATCACTTAATGTTGGTGAAATATCAAGTGGACGGGGTCTCAATCAAGAAACTACTCTTAAGCGTTCTGGTGATACACGTTGGGGATCTCACTACAGTTGCTTAATTAACCTGATTCTCATGTTTTCAACCATAGTTGATGTTGTTGAGATGATTGCTACTGACACTACAAGTTCTAGAACAAGAGGTGATGCGTGTATTTTATTGGAATTGATGTTAAAATTTGAATTTGTTTTTAATCTACATCTCATGAGAAAGATCTTGAGAATTTCAAATGAATTGTCGAAAGCATTACAAAGAAAAGATCAAGATATTATTAATGCTATGAGATTGGTGCAATTATGTAAAGCACAGCTCCAAACCATGAGAGATGATGGATGGGATTCTTTTTTTGGAATGGTTTGTTCATTTTGTGAAGCTCATGAGATAAATGTTCCCAATATGGATGATATGTTCATAACTCTAGGTCGTTCACGACGTGATACGGTGACAAATTTGCATCATTTTCGTGTGGAAATGTTTTATGCCATCATTGACATGCAACTTCAAGAGCTGAATGATCGTTTTTCTGAGCTAAACAGTGACTTGCTCCTTTGTGTTGCGTGTTTATGTCCAAATAATTCATTTGCTGCTTTTGACAAGAACAAAGTGATTCGACTATGTCAGTATTATCCCGGAGATTTTGATGCGACAGCTATTTTGGAACTCGAAGATCAACTAGATACATATATTTTTGACATGCGCACTGACGAAGATTTTAAAGAATTACAAGGCCTTGGTGATCTTGCACAGAAGTTGGGTGCGAAAAATAAACATGAAGTTTATCCATTGGTCTACAAGCTTGTGACATTAGCCTTAATTCTTCCCATGGCTACTGCTACAGTTGAGAGAGCATTTTCTGCCATGTCAATTGTCAAAAATCGTCTACGTAATCGAATCGGGGATCAATGGTTGAATGATAGTTTGATTGCATATATTGAGAATGATGTATTTGACAATATTAAAAATGACGTAATTATGGAACGTTATCAAAATATGAGAACTCGTAGAGAACAATTGTAATAAGATATCAAATATTTAAATTTTTTCATCACCTTTTTGCTAAGTTCGACAGTGCCCCACTAAATCAAAATTTCTGCGTCCGCCACTGAGTCTAGTCTTACATGTCAGGCCTAGGACTGCTAATGGTCATAACATTAAGTGCACTTAAGTCTAAGCCTGACTGATTGATACTTATGACAAGAGGCCCTAGCCGCCAAGATGAGGCCACTTGTCTTTTCATCCAATGACTCTTACTCACCCTCCTCTACTATAAAAGCTCACACTTGGTGTCATTTCAAATGTAATGCAAGTTTACATTTTGATACAATGCCCCCGTTTGAACCACATTATTGTAAAAATGAAAATAAAAAATATAGTCGTTATGAGCCCCACATAAGAGATAAAAAGTCAAATATGATTATTTGATGTGATGGATAACGATCATATTTTTTATTTTAATGAGGAAATAATGAGACTTAAACTGGGCCTATAACTTTGTTCTTTGCATTCTTTACTCCATGAAACCGACCCCCTTTATTTTATATTGGGATTCATGTTAAGGGCCCTTCCACACTTAATACACCTCTTCCTCAACTGATTTGATCGTTGAAGTACGCGCAACCGGCTCCACCTCCATAGAAGAAGGTCACGTGTGTCTAACGGTTTGTCCTAGAGGGCAGGTATACAGTTTGTTTGGACGTGAGAGGTTTCAGGATCTGTTGACCATCTGGAGATACATTTTTTGAGGTTAACAATGTCCAAACACAGTTATGCAAATTGTCATGTAAGAGATGTGTCCTTGATCACTCACTATATTTTGAAAGACGTATTTGATTGTTCACTATATTTTAAGATGATCGAATTTTGGTCATCAAACTTGTAAAATCAATGTCAGCATGTTTTGAAAATTTAGAAATGCTATTTCTTGTACGATCACTTGTATGCAACAAAATTTAATATTTTTTGGACGGATGCTATTCAGTGAGCCTTACTTGGCTTGCTAAGAAACATACTCAATCCGATAAATGGCTCTCCTTTGGCCTGATTGTGAATGCTCCTCCAATCGAAACTCCTAAATATGTGGGTAAATAAAAGGGAAAGACACAAAAATGAGATTCAATAGATTTTATTTTTTTATTTTTAATTATCAAGGACAAAATTGTGATGAATTGGAGGTGTTTGGTCCATTTTTTTGATTGATGATAGAATTTTGGTGGACCTTTATATATATATATAGTAGCTACAAATGTTTTCATTTATACGCATATCTATGGTGGATTTTTTTGGATGACTTTTGGCGTACGTTTTTTGCTGCACAGAATGCCGGCTACAAGAGATATATGTCGGTTTGTTGTCAGTGTAGATTATGAATTTTTTGGGTGTAAGTCATACAGATTTTTGTTAAAATTAAATATCAGAATCGTCAGTATTTTCTAATCATTTTATGTTATCCCTCGTCATCATTCTGTTTTAATTAGTAGTTGTAAATATTGATTAGTATTTATCTGGCAAATTGTAGAATGTCCAAGTTAATTCAACTGGTATATGTATAAGGTGATAAAAATTGGCTCACGGAGCTCAAGCATCAAAATGTTTAGGTTTTAATATTGATGAACACGTCTCTATTTAAAATTGAAATTTCGCAACTTCTCGCTCATATCCTTGGTTTTCTCTTAAGATACCTAATTTCGAATATGGATCAAGCCCCTATTTGACGTAGTGATGGCAACGGGACGGGGCGGAGCGGGGCGTCCTATTTGACGTAGTGATGCGGGGCGGTTTCTTGCCCAGTTTAATTTTTATTTTATTTTTTATTTTTTGAATTCCGAGTTCAATAAAATACGGATAACATTCAAACTGACAAAGTTAATATCCAAAATAAACGCTACAAATCTTAAATATAATGATCGCTATTGTTACACAACATTGATTATTAGGATGAATAAGGTTTTTTTGTATTTTTTTCCTTTGATATTGTCACAAAAGTTGTAACCTCACACACTTTAATTTATGACAATATATAGATTTTGAAATTTGTTCAGTTGAACATGTTATATCTTTTTATATTTGCTTTTATCAATATAATACCAATTTGACAAAGTAGTATAATGGCATATATAAATTGGTCAAGTTTGATAAGACTTGTAGAATTGAGAATACTAAAAAATAGGTCATCCTTCTATTTGAAGCAAGTTGAACCTTATCTTTTATTAAAAAAAAAATCATCACAGGGCAGTGGAGTAGGTTTTTTTGCCCCATTCGGGGCGGGGCGGCACCGAGGCGGGGCGGGGCGGGGTAAATTGTCATCACTAATTTGACGTATCCTTCGTTTGAGCTTCATTCTTTGGAAAATAATACATTTTTAAACAGTATTTTAGCATCATTTCAACCACACATTTTTAATAAAATATTATACAAGTAAATTTTAGATTTTTCCTTATTTTAGCCATTTTTTCATCAATACATTATTCAAAAATGTATTTTCCCTCCAAAATGGGCTCAAACAAGGGCATAGATTAAGCCCTTGTTTGAGCATAACTTTGAAAGAAAGAATGTATTTTTAAATAATAATTGATGGAGAATATATGATTATAAATTAAGGAAAATTTTTGAATTTACATGTAATATTATTTTATTGAAAAATGTATGGTTGAAAATAAATTTTGAAAGAATTAATTTTTGGAAGAATAGAGCTCAAACAAGGGCTAAAATTAGATTTTTAGTAAATTTTGATAAAAATTGAGAAAATGTGTAGTTGAAAAGTTGTGGACTCTACGAAATACATGATTAAAATTAATCGTTGATTTCGATTTAAAATTAAAATCAAATTTTAGTTGGAACCAATCAGAGGCCAAGCTCCCGTTTGGCCCCTATTAAATCTCATCAAATTAAATTAAATTAAATTTTTTTATCTCCTATTTTCAACCACACAATTTTTAATAAAATAATATTACATGTAAATCGAAATTTTTTCATTCTTTTACAACCGTTCATTTTTCAAAAAAACAATATTTTTCCGATTAAATTCAACCCTTGTTTGATCCCTAGTTTGGGAGAAATAACGCATTTTTTAATAGTAGATTGATGTAGAATGTATGGTTAAAAATTAAATAAAAGTTTTGAATTTGCATGTAATATTATTTTATTGAAAAATGTGTGGTTGAAAATGAGTTTTGAAAAATGAAGGTCTGTTCTCTTTGTATTTCAATTTTGTAGTTTTGAATTTTGAATTCATTTTGAGTTTTGTGTTTTGAGTGTATGTTTTGAAATTGTTAAAAACACGCTCTCTTTGTCATTTCGAGAAACTGTTTTCCAAAATATAAAATTGAAAAATGCATTTACTTTGAAATTTTGAATTTTTTTTATAATATTTTATTTAAGAACACCATGAAATGTCAATGCATACATGGTGACACACCATAAACACGGTCAAAACGTGGTAGTTCTTTGGATCATTGTAATGCAATTACAACTCTCTATACATATTATTTTGATTAACTCAGTTAGCTTTAATAAATTAAAGAAAATTAAAGTTTGTCGAAACGTTTCAATTATTGCAAGACAACAAGTCACAATATTAATGCGTAAAAAAACCATCAATATATATCTGAATGTGTAAAAAAAGTTCACAACGCAAAAGCACGAGAATATATTCCCATACAAAATCCATCCAATCCATTCACTCAATTATTCATAACACAACAAATTTGTTACTGACATCCAATCCTCTCTACACAATTTGCAAGAACTTGTCACATGCATGCACACTTTTAAGTAGAGGGTCCTTCTCACAATCACTCATTATTCTCACATTCACTCTCTCATCCACACAGTTCACGTCCATTCACTCTCCATACTTTGTAACTACATTCTCATTGGCAACACATTTACTTGGAAAGCTTCTCACACACTTACTCAAAAAGGTGCCTATTTAATTGAAAAAAGTAAGCACATCAAAATTTCTATTCAACATTTGTGCTACTTAGTAGTAAGCTGTCGAAAAAAAAATTTGTTCGCGACACGGGGGCATAATTTTTTCGATAGAAGTCGCTACCGAAGTGTCGCTGCGTCTCCGTGTGTGTCACGGAGACAGCGACACTCTCCGTGTGTGTCGTAAACAAAAATAGATTTGTCTAACAATATAACTTACGATCAATTGTACACTTTTTTTACGTTCATTTTCTATATTGGATTTTCATAAATAAAATAATATATTCGTTTGTATTTATTCATTATTGTGTAATTTATGCAGATTTTTTTAGAATACGTTCCCTCTCCAGATCAATGGTTTTCTGCAACCATCGTCCAGTATCTAAATCGCGAATACATTAAAGATTTTGTAGAATTCATAGATATCAATCAACAATGTTCTTTACTGTGTAGTAATTTTTGTGAATTTGTTTACGGAGATATGTTCAGGGCACAACAAGAACAATTTAGTAGTAAGTTGGTACACAAATTTATAATGAGAATTGTACATTGTGGAAAAAATAATGAACTTTGGTACGGTTAGATGACCATATTGTCAGGTTCAGCGTGCAAGAATTTTGCCTAATTACTGTACTACCTTGTCATGAACCATCCATTGAAATTGACTATAGTAACGATCGTCTTAGAGATCAATACTTCAATGGGGTCAAAAGAGTTAGCAATAGAATGCTTTTTGAAGCTTTCCATATGTGGGAAGAGGAGGAAGATAAATTTAAGTTGGGACTAGTTATGTTGGTGGAGTGTATGTTGAAACTGACTTCAAGACAAATTGATTATAGAACGTTGGGCATGGTTGAACATTTTAATGCGTTCCTTACGTATCCATGAGGTCGTACCGCATATTTCGTTCTTTTCATTTCGTTGAAAGAGTTACAGTTGGAACGAGTGATAAGGATGCAACAGAATCGACAAACAGAATGTAAGTATACAGTACAAGGCTATCCACTTGCATTTCAGGTATGTTGTTCATATTCTAAGTGTTCTTGTATTTCATTTAATTTCTTTGTAAAAAAAAAATATATATATACATCGACATTTACCTGTAATTCTGTTGCAGTATTGGATATATGAAGTATTTCCACAGATCGAGCAAAAGTTTGAACGCCGTAGGTACAAAACGGCACAGATTCCACTAATGTACAAGTGGAGGCCTAATACAATACTGAAGGAAGCGATTGTTAAATAATTTCTAGATACGAAAGAGGTATGACTTTTTAATTTCAACGTGCAATGACGTTCACATTAAATTGGTAAAATTTGACATTGAAAAGTTTGCTGAGACGAACTTGTTTACGATGATTACAAATCTAAGTCTTTGCAGTGTTGCAACCTACCGAAGAAGAATTAGAAATATCGTGGTACTCAAATTTGTCACCGCCAGCTGACAATGAACATAGTATACTAGATGCCATTATCAACGGAGAATTGGATAATATAGCACAACCATTACCGGATCATATTCGTGCGCAGCAAGCGACAAGTTGTGGTACACCGAGAACTTCAATTGGAATTGGGCCTAGTTTTACTTCTGGTACCTCAAGATATGTAACTGAAGACCAGCATACAATATCAGATGTGTCCGATCTATGTGGCAACTTGAAGGCAGACTTTGTTGAAGAATCAAGAGCCCTAAACCACGCGATCCTTAACAACCAAAAGCTGCTGTTCGAAGAACAGACCAAATTATTGTTCGTACATAGATAATTCTCTATCTGGTTTGTTTCAGAGTCATATGGCCCACGAATCGCAAACATAAGAAGCCCATTATCAGGCAGTTCTGTAAAGACAAGAAGAATTATTTCAACAGCAACAAGAGCAAATGCGGTGTTATGTGAATTCCAGTTCATGTTTTGTGAGATCATACATTGACGAACATACTGAGAATATGCAGAACAGATTATCTAACTGGGAATCGAACATGGAAGCCATTATGGGTTCCATGCAGCAATATGTCTCTCCCCATGCAAGTTCAAATCCTACTGATCATGAATAGGAGACGTCAACGTCTTAACAAATCGAACATACTCAAAAGTTGAAAAGAGAAAGGGAAAGGAAGAAGAAGTGCACACAGTCTTCATCATCGAACAAGTCGTCCCTTAAAAGACTACAACATGAAAAAGTACAGAACAATTAGAGATTTCATAGCAACAAAAGAACCAGGGTAACAAATTTTACTTATTCTTACTAGTTTGAATGCTAAACATTATTACGGTAACGTCAGAAATTCTGTGTTGATTTATTTGATACTAATGTCAATTGTGTTATACAGTACATACTTGGACGACGGCAGTGGGAACATCTACTGAAGGGACACGCTGAGAACACTACTGGATTGAACGAAAGATCCAAATTATCATGTACGACGTCTTGAGTAATCATTCCACATTTGTGTAGCAATTTGATCCCTGACTTGTCCCATTTGAGCTGTTTGACTGGTATCAAAATGTATTACTTCTTGATCTTGACTTGACTCCGGCATGTCTTGAAACACCATATTCTCCTCATCATACTCTACGAATAACTTATCTAAAGTGTGCTCCTGACGTATAAAGTTGTTTATTGCGCAACATGTAGTAGGGATTTGTCTTTGCCTATAAGTGGATAATTGGTAATCAACTTCAAAATAGGAAATCTTGCCTTTAAAATTCCAATGCAACGTTCAATAATGTTACGACATGAAGAGTGTCTATAATTGAACAATCCTTCTTTCCCACGTAGCCTTCCCCGTCCAACATAGTCACACAGATGATATTTATGACCTCGATAGTGGGCAAGAAATCCTGGCATGTTTGGATATCCAGAATCAACAAGGTAAAATTGATCTGTAAAAAAAATAATAGGCTTATACATTGTGACACTATAAATATATTCGCAATAATTATTTGACGTTTACGAATGTACCTCCTCGTGGCATTGGAAAGTTGTTCGAACTTCTTGTGACTGCATCAACGAATACTCGCAAATCATTAGCAATACATTCCCAACCACAATACACAAATGTGAATTTCATATCAAAATCACATTTTGTGTTACATTTGTTTTCCTTCCTCTAAAAGATGTTTATCTCGATGCAGGAGCCCAAGCTGCAACATGTGTTCTATCTATTGTGCCTATGCAATCCCTTAAAAAAGGATATTTGCGCAAAATTCGCTCCTGCACAATATTTTGATTTGTCGGACGGATTATCTCAGTGCCAAATGAGATAACAACCCTAACAACTCGTTTAAACCATTTGTGTATCGTGTTGTTGGAATGCTGGAACCTATCACCAATAACACTGTATCGTGTAGTGTGCCCTACAATCATCATAAACATAGCCACACCCTCCTCGACGCTCACTTTTTTCCCATCTTTCAGTAACCCTTTCTCTTTCAGAATGTCACATAAATTCATGAAAAAATGTTTCTGCATACGAAAATTACGATAGTATACGTCCGGATGTCCATTCAAAATTTCTAGGATGTACTTTTTTCTTGTAAGCAATGATGTTCTACAAGGTGTCCTGCTAATGATACTTCCTTTGTTGGCAACAAAGTAATTAAGCACCATTAATTCTCTAAAATTTGCGTCAGCATCATCCATATATAACAACCCATCATCACTCGATTCTTCCTCATTGGACCCATCGGCATGCACATTATCATCCACATTTGATTCACTAGCCATACTGCGAACAAAATATAACCAAATTAATTATCATAAGTTATATCAACCACCATTAATTCGATAAAACAAGCAATCAAGCATTAAAAAAGTGAAGACAAATCAACATCGGTTCTCCAACCAACAACAACACAATGTTTGTAAATGAAAACAGTATAACATCACCACAAAATGGGGGAAAAAAGGACTTCAAGCCTCGAGTTTGACATGGTACTTCAACATAACAACAATCACATATTAAAACAACAGTCACATCAAAGTAGTTCCAAGATAGGTCATCTCTTTGCTTCTGACATCTTCACAAATGACACCTTGAAATCGGGATCCTTGAAAGCCTTTATTGCTTTCATGTAAACCTCATTGGATACCCCTTCCATATTGTTTAAAATGTCCAAGCAAGTAACATTTGAAGAAGGATCTGGACTAATAACTTCATTATCTGATTGACAACTACCTTTTCGTTTGATCTTTGCAAGCTTCTCTTTTAGGTAAAGTGTTTTACGTTCAGTTTCTTCAATCCTCAAACTAACTGTAGATGACCACTGTGCCATATAGGCCTCGAGTTTATCACTTTTACTGACCTTAGGTTCCTTACGTCATCACTCACCCGATATACCAATTTCGTTACGTGGACAAGTATTTGAAACCACATCGACTTCATCATCATTTTCCGCAATCATATGTACTCCTCTATTAAAAAAATCATCTTCTAGCTACCTTTCTTCCTCTGATGTGTTTGGACGCTGGGTGGAGGCACTGCCTAATCCTCCAGTAGCTGTAGTCCAGCTGAATATCTACCTAAGAGTGTGGTAGTGCTTACATCCTTCTCTCTTGAACAACTTGTAATCCGACTTGTTAATCTAACATTGAAAAAAGAAACCACATTGTTAGCGTGTTGAAGAAAACAATATAAAATTGATAAGATAAAAAATAAGGACGAACACATTCTTTCATAAATATATGTACTGTATAAAAGTGTTGCCAAACTTCCTCTGTAGCATTAATTTTGTTGGTATTTGGATCCCATGTAACACTCGTATGTCCCAAAAATTCAGAGAACATGCGATGAATCTTACGCAAGCGGTTCCACTTTCCTTTTAATCTATCTAGGCCGTAATCCATTTTTGTTGAAGCTATCATGATTTTATTGATCCTGCCCCATTCGTCTCTTGTGAATGTAGAACATTGCAATGCATTTGATTTCACTTTCTCGTAAAGAATTTCAATAAAAACGTGTTCGTTCTCGTCCGACCATGACATTGGTTCCTTATTTCGAACTCTATGACCACCCATGTTGACGCTATATTCATATACATCAAATTATTATCAAATATATAAGACCTTCGGTAGGCGATTTGAGGACATATTAATGTTTTTAATTATAGTCACATACCACCAAATGCTCAAAAGTATACCCAACACATGTACCCATAATTATAAGGATCAACACATAGCCAAACATCATTTTAACTTACAAATTCAGGAATCTTTGCAATGTAGTTACTATCAGCAGATACCAAGTTGGAAAAGTAATAAGAAGTTACTTCATTGATGCATTGCATATTGTGTAAAAGATTAGAATGTCTTCCAAGTTGATCATGAAACTTGAGCATCATTGGTGAAGGAAAAGTTGAGATGGTAATTTCTGGAGAAATTTTATCATAAAAACTATCATAATTGGAAGGCACAAACATTACAAAAATACTCATAAGGCTCAAACTTTACTAAAATACTCATACTTTTCCACAAACTATTGCAAACAAGTTGCTAAATTTGTTAAATTATCCTTCACAAAACTAGCGGCATATAATTGTTACCTGTATCATAATTTCTATTTCGTCCTTTTCAGCCAAATAATTTAACTTATCAATTAGCTTATTCAATTGCTTGATGAGTATGAATTCTTGTTCCCAATTTGTCCAAGGCCTGATTGGACAGTATGCAGTACCTATATTGGAAGATAAATTTGTTCGGGGGTACTGATGCTCCTACTAGAATAGCATACATGGATACCCAAGTAAACATTTTTAGATCTAATCCCTTGCTACGAGAAATGTTCAGTCACTCCGTATAAGATGCAATTGGAGGCTGCATCATCAAGGCACTTCAACAGAGAGGGTAAGATTGATGAGAATTAGTCATATGAACATCTCTAATTATAGGGA